TTAAAACCATTTTTTCCTGTTTTATTATAATATATGCTATTTATAACATCACTTTGATGTAAATTTACAGCAGAAAAAAATATTAAAACAAACGAGACTGTTATAAAAAGATTTTGACTATAATATTTTTTTTTATCATCATTATTATTATGACGATAAAAAACTGAAAATAACTACTCCTATAAGAAAATAACACATAAATTTTAGAGATCTTTACATAAATAGCCATTGTTTATTTTTCCTAATAGTTATACATATGTTATATACGAGTACATTTGTATATATTATGTATAAATTATACATATATTATATTTTTATTGACTATTTTAATTTAGAGATTGGTTGAATAATTATTTAGGTTAATTTAAGGTATTTATTCAAATTTCCAATTTTCTGAAAAAGGAAAGGAGAATGTGTGATGACCCAAAAGGTCATCTTGTGTTTTAGAACCCAATTAGGTGTTTCGAGGCCTTCAAAACCTCATTTTATTTCTCCCCGATTTGCGTGCACAGTCCGTGTAACACCCCGTACATTCGGACTAGGTGTGAATATTAAATGGGTATTAATTTGATATTTTAGACATATGAAGTCCCATCGAGATGATTACGGGTAAAATAGTTGTTTCAAAATCAAGATGGAAAGTGAGGTGCATAAGATTTGACAAAATCAACTAAGTTTACAGAAGGGCTATCTTCCAGCAGATTTTAGTGAAAATGTATAAGGAATTTGGGAAAACGCTAAGCATGAAAGTTGTAGGCCTTTGGTCTCTCTCATGCCGATCCGCAGCCGAAGGAGTCCTTTCTTGTATTTTTGATTTCTGTCTATCCTGATTCAGACAGTAGGATAGTGTTTCATTCGTTTTGTGTATATTCTACTGGTCGCCCGTAGCTTGTGACACCAGGTCCTGGCACACACTGTAGTAGACATATATTTTTGGGGTTGTATCGCTATTTTAGCACTTTATGATCTTTACTGGTCTTATCTTCAAATTCGAAAATCTAGTATAACTGCCTTTGGCTAAAGTAAAATGAGAACTTAATCACATTCCGCATCGGCTGGCCTGACAACGGTGTTAGGCGCCATCATGACCTATTAT